ATGTAAATAAAACCCAAAATTTATAATAATACTTTCAGGGACAACGCGTAATACATTGCTTTTTCATCACAACTGTGGAGTTTACACAAAAGGATATAATAAATACAAATCCTAAATTAATGTAAATAAAACCCAAAATTTATAATAATACTTTCAGGGACACGCGTAATACATTGCTTTTCATCACAACTGTGGAGTTTTACACAAAAGGATATAATAAATACAAATCCTAAATTAATGTAAATAAAAACCCAAAATTTATAATAATACTTTCAGGGACAACGCGTAATACATTGCTTTTTCATCACAACTGTGGAGTTTACACAAAAGGATATAATAAATACAAATACTAATTAATGTAAATAAAAACCCAAAATTTATAATAATACTTTCAGGGACAACGCGTATACATTGCTTTTTCATCACACCTGTGGATTTACACAAAGGATATAATAATACAAATCTAAATTATGTAAATAAAACCCAAAATTTATAATACTACTTTCAGGACAACGCGTAATACATTGCTTTTTCATCACAACTGTGGAGTTTACACAAAAGGATATAATAAATACAAATACTAAATTAATGTAAATAAAAACCCAAATTTATAAACTTTCAGGGACAACGCGTAATACATTGCTTTTTCATCACAACTGTGGATTTTACACAAAAGGATATAATAAATACAAATACTAAATAATGTAATAAAAACCCAAAATTTATAATAATACTTTCAGGGACACGCGTAATACATTGCTTTTTCATCACAACTGTGGAGTTTACACAAAGGATATAATAAATACAAATACTAAATTAATGTAAATAAAACCCAAAATTTATAATATACTTTCAGGACAACGCGTAATACATTGCTTTTTCATCACAATGTGGAGTTTACACAAAAGGATATAATAAATACACAATACTAATTAATGTAATAAAAACCCAAAATTTATAATAATACTTTCAGGGACAACGCGTAATACATTGCTTTTTCATCACAACTGTGAGTTTACAAAAAGGATATAATAAATACAAATACTAAATTAATGTAATAAAACCCCAAATTTATAATAATACTTTCAGGACAACGCGTATACATTGCTTTTTCATCCAACTGTGGAGTTTACACAAAAGGATATAATAAATACAAATACTAAATTAATGTAATAAAACCCAAAATTTATATAATACTTTCAGGGACAACGCGTAATACATTGCTTTTTCATCACAACTGTGGAGTTTACACAAAAGGATATAATAAATACAAATACTAAATTAATGTAAATAAAAACCCAAATTTATAATAATACTTTCAGGGACAACGCGTATACATTGCTTTTCATCACAACTGTGGAGTTTACCAAAGGATATAATAAAACAAATACTAAATTAATGTAAATAAAAACCCAAATTTATAATAATACTTTCAGGGACAACGCGTAATACATTGCTTTTTCATCACAACTGTGGAGTTTACAACAAAAGGATATATATAAATACAATACTAAATTAATGTAAATAAAAACCCAAAATTTATATAATACTTTCAGGACAACGCGTAATACATTGCTTTTTTCATCACACTGTGGAGTTTACACAAAAGGATATAATAATACAAATACTAATTAATGTAATAAAAACCCAAAATTTATAATAATCTTTCAGGGACAACGCGTAATACATTGCTTTTTCATCACACACTGTGGAGTTTACACAAAAGGATATAAAATACAAACTAAATTAATGTAAATAAAACCCAAAATTTATAATAATACTTTCAGGGACAACGCGTAATACATTTGCTTTTTTCATCACAACTGTGGAGTTTACCAAAGGATATAATAAATACAAATACTAAATTAATGTAAATAAAAACCCAAAATTTATAATAATACTTTCAGGGACAACGCGTAATACATTGCTTTTTCATCACAACTGTGGAGTTTACACAAAGGATATAATAAATACAAATACTAAATAATGTAAATAAAAACCCAAATTTATAATAATACTTTCAGGGACAACGCGTAATACATTGCTTTTCATCACACCTGTGGAGTTTACACAAAAGGATATAATAATACAAATACTAAATTAATGTAAATAAAACCCAAATTTATAATAATACTTTCAGGACAACGCGTAATACATTGCTTTTTCATCACAACTGTGGAGTTTACACAAAAGGATATAATAAATACAAATACTAAATTAATGTAAATAAAACCCAAAATTTATAATACTACTTCAGGGACAACGCTAATACATTGCTTTTTCATCACAACTGTGGAGTTACACACAAAAGGATATAATAAATACAAATACTAAATTAATGTAAATAAAAACCCAAATTTATAATAATCTATTTCAGGACAAACGCGTAATACATGCTTTTTCATCACACTTGAGTTTCACAAAAGGATATAATAAATACAAATACTAAATTAATGTAAATAAACCCAAAATTTATAATAATACTTTCCGGGACAACGCGTAATACATTGCTTTTTCATCACAACTGTGGAGTTTACACAAAAGGATTAATAAATACAATCTAAATTAAGTAAATAAAAACCCAAAATTTAAATAATACTTCAGGACACGCGTAATACATTGCTTTTTCATCACAACTGTGGAGTTTACACAAAAGGATATAATAAATACAAATACTAAATTAATGTAAATAAAACCAAAATTTATAATATACTTTCAGGGACAACGCGTAATACATTGCTTTTTCATCACAACTGTGAGTTTACACAAGGATATATAAATACAAATACTAAATTAATGTAAATAAAAACCCAAAATTTTAATAATACTTCCGGGACAACGCGTAATACATTGCTTTTTCATCACAACTGTGGAGTTTACACAAAAGGATATAATAAATACAAATACTAAATTAATGTAAATAAAACCAAAATTTATAATAATACTTTCAGGGACAACGCGTAATACATTGCTTTTTCATCACAACTGTGGGTTTACACAAAAGGATATAATAATAAAATCTAATTAATGTAAATAAAACCCAAAATTTAAATAATACTTCAGGGACAACGCGTAATCATTGCTTTTCAACAACTGTGGAGTTTTCACAAAGGATATAAATCAAATATAAATTAAATGTAAATAAAAACCCAAAATTTATAATAATACTTTCAGGGACAACGCGTATACATGCTTTTATCACAACTGTGGAGTTTACACAAAATATATATAAATACAAATACTAAATTAATTAAATAAAAACCAAATTTATAATATACTTTCAGGGACAACGCGTAAATACATTGCTTTCATCACAACTGTGGAGTTTACACAAAAGGATATAATAAATACAAATACTAAATTAATGTAAATAAAAACCCAAAATTTATAATAATACTTTCAGGGACAACGCGTAATACATTGCTTTTTCATCACAACTGTGGAGTTTACACAAAAGGATATAATAAATACAAATACTAAATTAATGTAAATAAAAACCCAAAATTTATAATAATACTTTCAGGGACAACGCGTAATACATTGCTTTTTCATCACAACTGTGGAGTTTACACAAAAGGATATAATAAATACAATACTAAATTAATGTAAATAAAAACCCAAATTTAATAATAATCTTTCAGGGACACGCGTAATATTGCTTTTTTCATCACAACTGTGGAGTTTACACAAAAGGATATAATAATACAAATCCTAAATTAATGTAATAAAACCCAAAATTATAATATACTTTCAGGACAACGCGTAATACATTGCTTTTTCATCACAACGTGGAGTTTACAAAAAGGATATAATAACTACAAATACTAAATTAGTAAATAAAACCCAAAATTATAATAATCTTTCAGGGACAACGCGTAATACATTGCTTTTTCCACAACTGTGGAGTTACACAAAAGGATATAATAATACAATACTAAATTAATGTAAATAAAACCCAAATTTATAATAATACTTTCAGGGACAACTCGTAATACATTGCTTTTCATCACAACTGTGGAGTTTACACAAAAGGATATATAAATACAAATACTAATTAAGTAATAAAACCCAAATTTATAATACTTACTTTCAGGACAAACGCGTAATACATTGCTTTTTTCACACTGTGGAGTTTACACCAAAGGATCTAATAATCAAATACTACATAATGTAATAAAAACCCAAAATTTTATAATACTTTCAGGGACAACGCGTAATCACATGCTATAATAAATACAAATACTATCACAACTGTGGGTTTAAAATTGCCCAGTAGGTCTTTTTGTGTGGTCATGCTATTCTAGTAATTATAGTGTACATAAAAAAAAACCCAAAATTTATAATAATACTTTCAGGGACAACGCCTAATACATTGCTTTTTCATCACAACTGTGGAGTTTAAAATTGCAGTAGGTCTTTTTGTGTTGGTCATGCTATTCTAGTAATTATAGTGGTAGATTCTGATTTCAGTGTTTCAAATATTTCTCATTTTAATAGAGAATGTTCCAGCCAAGTGGTAATAGAAACTTCGGAGTGTACAATATTCAGTTTATCATGGATAACATTACTTCGCAATTACCAGGGTGTGTTGGCAGTTTGACACAGAACAGAGTCCTGCTGCGTTTGTAATTGTGTTCTGTTTGTTTGACAAGAGTAAACCCACACTGTACAGGCCAAACATAGCAAGGGACAAAGAATGGATTTATAAACTCATAATTGGTTACCTAAAAATCCAACGCTGTTTTAAGGTGAGAGTTCAGCTTTTTATTCAACGGAGCACAGACCGCCAAGGTACACTGCGCAAAATAATAATATATTAAAATAACTAAGGTTTCAGATTTTAAATTACGTCTAAAGTGGCGTTTTATTAAAATTTATGTTACTTTTATTTATTAAATATCATGTTGTTCTTACTTAAACCAAAAAATTAACTTTAAGAGCAATATCGCTAAGTAATTTTAAAATGAGCATATCTTTAGAATTTCCAATACACAATCTCTTTTTACTGTAGAACGTTGCCATTGCTCGCTTTGAAATCCTTGAGTTAATCCTTGATACCTGTTAAAGAAAAATTCGTTAAAGTTTTACAAAATATGAAATCGATAATAAACAAATCCAAATTACAAATTTGGGCTTCCAGATGCCCATATTCGCAGGATTACGTTATTTAAAATTTGAAGGCTCTAGGTACTGTATTTTTATCACAGTGCAAGAAACATACATACATTTATGCAGATTCTTCATTATTTAATTTCTTTGAATAAAAGACAAGGCGATAATATTTGGTGGCAACAATTTAAAAAGTGAAACAACTTTTGTAGCGAATCAACGCAAAATGTCAAAATGAAGTTAATAGTCCTTCTGGGCAAATAGCACCTTTGGACTAAAAAAATTGGGACAATTCTATATATCCCGTTCTACTGGGCGATTGACGAAATTCAACAGCTACACAATGTTAATTGAATTTGATATATATGTGGTAATGATTACTTCGTTGGTTGTGTGGCAACGTATGTCACTGTATGATAAACAGGAATATAGTGGCAACTTACCACAGGACAAGATTCAGGTCTATAGTCTGCCGTGACGAGAAAGTGACAAACACGTGAAAACAGACTTAATTCTTGCTTCATTGAATACTAACAATGCTGAAGAGATATTCCTTTTTTTTGAATCCGTTGTGTCACATGGCGATATGAGGCTTTCTCACTCAGAAAAAAAAGATAGATTAATTCTTCCACGAAGCCCTTCGAAGACTTGGTATATTTCAGCTCAATCACATGCAAGTACTCTTCATCGGAATGCCGGGCGAAAATGCCAAGCCCGGGGGAAAAAAATCAGCTTAAATTTTGCAGCTACAGCATCAAAGAGAAAGAAACTCTCTTCCTTCGTACACACTGGGAGACCAAGAAAGCTTGCACGATAAATTCCCAAAAAGTTTGCATTTTACCCCGTTCTTACCGTCTTTCTCTATGCAGCATCTCCATCTCGCACCTTCACAATCTCCTCCTTCTCCTCCCTTCTGGTGGCAAAAATACCGCCTTTTATAATTCCACAGTTAAGTTTTTGCGCCAATGAAAAAAGCTCCAGCGTCAGAAGGCAAACCAATCGCAAATACCTTCAGCTACCCAGGCAAACAGAAGTGAAGACGCTAGTTTCTGACGCAATGCTTTCCTCCGCTTACAACAGTTGTCTGATGCAATACTTTCTTCCGCTACAACACAGTTATCTGATGAATCTGTTCCTCACCTTACAACACAAGTTGGCGAAAAAATGAAACTGTCACCAAAGGAATCTGATGCAAATATCTAAATATTACCATAACGTAGTAAATAATTAATTCAATGCGACCTCGTCACAATATATATTTATTAATATCTTTTTTTTATTAAACTTAATTAATTCCTTCTTCCAGAATTCTAAATTTATGCTTACTTCAAATATAATTCGCGCATTTTTATGATTTAAGCAACCATTTTTTATGATTTAAAACCTTACATACCCCCCTTCAAATAGTGAGTGGGAATGAAATGACACATTCGCCAAATCCTTTTGGTGACGAATTATCGTCCACCACTTTTTTATTTGGGCGTTACTGAAGAGTAATTTTAGAATTTTTCGAAACCAGAAAACCAAAAAATTCCGCAGTACCTATGTCGGAGTTCGAACTCCTGACCTCCAGAAAACGCGTCGAATTTGTTTTCAGTTACAGCACGAAAGCATGCAAAAAAGAGGAGCAAAATGACTTAAATACACTATTTCAGAGGGCGAATCTTAGTGTTGACGAATTATGGTTAATTGCTATTTGCAGAGACATTTAGAGTTTTCGAAGCAAATATATCGAAGATATAAGCAGTGCCACAACTGGGATTCAAACGTTCGACCTCCCAACTACTCGTCGAGAGTGCCTTTAGTAACATCAAGAAGGCATGAAGGAAACAGCGCTAAAATACCTTATAATATTATTAATTGTTTAACTTAGAATGTTACATCTTTCATAGTCTTTCTTTGATTATAGAGGCTTGCATGAGCAATTATACCACATACAGATGATGTCACATTTTTCATCTTTCTCGCAAGGATTTAGCTTGTAGGTATATGTGCAAGACGTAAGAGAGAAAGGCTTAATTGTAAAGCAAGAAGCAGTTCTTGTATTCGTATGGTATATTCTATAATTAAATATGATTGTAAATCAATAATTTATTGTTAAATAGATATATACCTATCTCGCAAAGATCTCCTGTACAGGGTTTTTTGTATTTGCAAAAAACCATGCCGTTAGCTGCCTCACATGTTCGTCCCTCTTTACATGGATGTGATTTGCAAAGATCTGAAACGAAACCAAAGAAGAGAAAGTAAGTATTCATGTTTTACTAATGTTTACTTAATAGAATGTTATGCCAATCTATTTAAAAGAATTTACCATCTTCACATTGTTTTCCTGAGTACGGGGATTTACAAGAACACTTATCCGGAACTTGTCACTGTACACTTTCCACCATGTTTACATGTGTGAAGTGGTAAGTACTGATTTTGCTCTCTCATAATGAGAAGAACTGTCAGAGTATTTTTGTGAAAAGTTTAACAAATGCGAAATGCGTCTTTCGGACAAAACATTTCATCAGTTTCACATGTGCATTCAATTCACTGCGAACCCGTATGCATAAAACAATATTATACATTTATTATACTTTATATTAAGCTTTATTTAACTCTTTTTAGAAATTATATTAATTTGTTGCTATTTTATGTGGAGCTAAAATAAAAATCTTTGGGAAGGAAATATCTTACTAAAATAAGAAACCATTTTTTTCAGTTAAATGGATAGAGATGCTGAAAAGTTAGAATTTTAGCAGAAAGGCGACATTTCTCGTTTGATTATAAATTTTTTCTCATATCTTTCTTTTCACACTTCAGACGAGTGTAATCACTTGGACACACAGGCTTATAAGAACTGCGAATATCTATGCAAGTTCCTACACTACAAATATATCATGTACACTATAAATTGCTACGTTAGGAGCTTCTCTAACCTATATAGTGTATAGAAAACGTCATGTGCAGGAACTTGCGTAATATTAATATCTATATTTTGATCAAGATTTTAAATAAGAGAAAACTTGATGTTTCAAAAGTTATTCTCTGGTGATTGCTATCAATGCTCGTCTACAAATTCCCATATAAATCTTCGCCTAGCGCATGCAAATATAACGGTTTTCTATTCACGGAAAAAAAATGGCTCAAACATTTTCCACCAGCTTAAGTTTGTGTTATCTTCTTATTATATTGTTAAAATACCTCGAAAAAGGACGGTAAGTTAAACTGTTGCGATTTATCGCTATACTCCACAACAAATTCTATCTGACCATCTAATGTTTGAACAATAGTAAATTTTAATTAGAAACTGAAGAATAAAATTAGTTTTAAATATATTCACATTATTGTTACTTCATCTATTTTTTCCTTATTAAATATATGTTTTGGAAATCCGTAGATAATAATCATGTTTATAATTATCGCTATACTCCACAACAAATTCCTATTGACATCTAATGTTGAACAATAGTAAATTTTAATTAGAACCTGAAGAATAAAATTAGTTTTAAATATATTCACATTATTGTTACTTCATCTATTTTTTCCTTATTAAATATATGTTTTGGAAAATCCGGCTATTATAATCATGTAAGATTTCTTGAAGCAGAAATACACATTTATGGATAAGTGCACGTATCTCTCAAACTACGTTTCTAGAGGTCGAAAGGAAAGTTACTCAGTAAGTGCATATGCTTTCATAGTGATTGTTTTGCATTATTAACTGTAAAATGTACCAAAGCGTGAGAAATAATTTTAAAAATAAGTTTTTAAAATAAAAAAATCGATGATTTTTATAGTTATTTATAGCTATTGAAGAAGGGCAGCATTAGTGTATCTACAAGTATCTATCATTTTCATTCCCTCGAAAGCTGTTCTATCGAAATATTTGGTAAGCGAAAATATTCATGCGCTTTTTTTTAAACAGTTACATTTGGCGCATTAGTCTGGTCGGATTGATTTTGATGACTTGATATGTTTGTATTCTTTTCAAACTTCATTCAGAGAAGAATTGGTCAGTGCATCATATGTTTCGCTATGTGTTTTGTAGAAAGCACATTCTTTGAAAGAACATTCGTTGGAAAAAGAGATCTCGAGGCCTATTTTGCTTTACGAGTACAAATTAGGAAACAGAGCTGCAAAGTCTGCTAGAAGAATATGTTCCGCGTTTAAAGAGACGATAGCAAGTAAACGGACTGCTTAAATGTGGTTTAGCCGTTTTTTATCCGGATGCGAGAGCCTTGAAGACAAGCCTATTGTTTGTCATCCATTCACACTCGACAAGGAGAAGCAGGAAAACGAAATCAAGTAGATCCTCATCAAACCTGCCCGCAGGTTTGCAGTATCTGACAAAATCCTATTATCAGATCTTCATAAACTTGGGACGTCATGAAGATGAAGACTAACCAAATGGGTTTCTTATGTCGTGTCCGAGGCAAACAAATTCCAAAGCTTCAACATTTGTTCGTCGTTGTTGTCGTGCTCTAATCAAGCATCGTTCTGGACCAATATTGTTATATATTGTTAAATATGTGGCGAAAAATGGATCATGTATGATAACCGGAGGAGGAAACATTATGACTCGACTTCTAGTTCGGTTTCATCAGCTGCTAAACTAGAAGTTCACCAAAAGGTAATGCTGTGTGTTTGGTGGACTGGCGCTGCCAGAGTTCAATGTAAATATCTAGAGAGAAGAAAAACCATAAGAGACGAGATCTGTTCATCTCATTTGCAAGGATTTTCAACTGTATTGCACCAGAAGAAGCAGCACTTAGCAGAAGAGAAGTTCTCCTCCAGGATAATGCCAGATATCATACGGCCACAGGCCAAATCGACCACAGAATTCATCAAAACACTCTCAGCCATCCTATTTCCCGGCCATGTCGGGAAGAGGAAATCTTGTAGTATAGTATATTTTCTCTCAAGTGCAGAGTGAATACGAGCCAGTTCCTCATAAGTCCTCCATGAAGACACATACCCTTCGTTAGCTTTGTCGTGTTCAAATAACCTGACCTGTCTTCGAGTTGTGATCACATTTCCCCACGAGTAACTCCTGACTCAACGAAACGAATAAATAGAAGGGAGCTGAATAATTTATAAATAGGCTTTAGTTAAACTTAGTTATGATTATTTATTACATGTACCATTTTTTCTCTTTGTATTCTTCCTTACAAAGGCAAGTTTTTTTCAGTCATTCCGAGACCAGTAAATGTGCAATTCGATCCTTCACCACAGTCGCATTTTTTAAAAGTGCAATGATGTGCAGAATACATATTTTGCATATACATTATTCTGAATGTAAAATTTTAAGCCTAATGCCGTATTAGTCACCGTACTGTAAAATTAATTCGCTGCTCAATAAAAAAATTCATACATTTGAAATGCGCTTTTGAAAATTTTAAACGTTATTATTTGTCGACGAAAACTTCTTGCCTGAGAAAACAACAAAAAAAAAAATTATTTATGAACAAGCAATTTTATGTATTACAAATAGTGCACTAAATTACAGAGAAACTAATCTGTTTCTTATATAACATATTAAACTGAAACGGATGGATTTATATATTAACAAAACCAACCCTGATGCATAATTACGAAATTATCGAAAGAAAATAGTGACTTACAGTTGCGAAACCTTATTATACACATTTTAAATGCACATTCATTCCCCAAAGGCAATCAATAAATATACATACATGCGTGATTTTCTATTTTTTTCGTAGAAATGGGGCGATTTAATTTTTTTTTTTTTTGATAAGAAATGTGGTACAACTCCTACATTTATTTTGCTGCAAATTATTGCAGTCGTGCAAAAGTCTTAATTTTTTCCATAACAAGCATATGCTACAAATACGTATTTTAAATTACGAACGCAAACGAACGCAGTGACTTTTTCTAAGTACCATTATTATATGTTTTCTTCACTTTAGAGCATCATCAAAAATCTTGAAACTTCTACTAAAGTGGTTGCGGGAGATTTTATTTACTCAGCGTTCAATAAGAATACTGCTACTGTAATAAAAATGATACATATATTAAACTTCTAATATTTAAAAGCATTTTTGTATTGCCAGATTAATAGGCAAGATTACACCTATTATGAAACTAAAGCTCATTACCGAGAACTGAAGTTCACATGGAATACACAGCAGTAACAGAAAATGTGGTCACAAGAGGGGATACAAGATTCACAATATAAAATGTTTCGTAATACAAAATTCCCAACCTCGGAAAGCAAGTGGTTTAAGTCAAGGAAAGCCTGGATATGTTCTAAGATATAAGCATTCCACTCTTGTCATTGTGATGCATATGTAGGGACTGATGGTCATTCGGTGAAGAAATTCGTGTAAGTGTAAAAAAAAAATCGTGTAAATATCCGTGATTAAAACGATTTTCATTTTACAAGTTTTGAAGTTCTTTAGCTGCTTTCACTCGCATCTACTTAATATATGCACGTGTATTTCAAAGTTAACCAAAAGTTAAGCTTCAAAGTTAAGTCATGCTTTGTTAAAAGTTGATTATAAATTTTTCTGTATTCATTGTCATGCCCAAGCAAATATGATTCAGAAGTCCACAAACATTTCAAAGCAATCTTCAAACTGGAAGTGGAATCATACAGACGATTTTCTGGAATCTGCCGCCTGATTGTATCACCGAATAGTTTCTGCTAAATATGTAAGGTTTTATTCATTTTTTGACTTTCCCGATTTGTACCGAATACAGAAAATCGGCGCTTAAGAGTACCTGGAAGGATCTGTTATCTCGTAATGATTCAGAAATTTGATAGACGTTTTGAATTAAATGTTGTAATAATTCAGGTTCAGGTTTGATATTCGAGTATATCTGAACTCTGATTTCAGCAGTTATTAAAGCTTGAATATTTATGCTAGAATAAGGGAGATATTTGCTTCTAAGAGTGATATTAAGACATCATAATCCTTCTCTTAAGAGTTACTTTTTGCGAAATTTTAAACTAAAAGCCTTTCTTTCTAAAGAGTTGCACTTTCAAAGCTTTTTTCTAAATGTTTTCTAATAAATGATTACGGCGAGCCCAAATAAAATAACATCAATGTACATAATCGTTTAGAATCATTTTCCAACTTTACGCAAGTAGTCTAGTCTGAAGTAAAGCAGTGTCATTTTGTACATAGTTTTGTGACTTAATAATACAAGATATCACAACTTCTTTATCAAAACTTTGAATAAATTCGGCCAATTCTGACGGTTTAATTTCCGTTGTATTTTTATTCCTTGTTATGGGGCAGAATAATGAATTATACTGTAAACTCTGGCAAATTTCACAAGATTTTATTCTTTCTTTACACTGCGAAATTAAATGTTTATTAACCACACTTGCATAACCTCCATGTTTATTAACCACACTTGCATAACACCAATTATAAGTCACTATGAAGACACATATCCTTCGTTAGCTTTGTCGTGGTGTTCAAATAACCTGACCTATCTCCGAGTCGTGATTACATTTCCCCCACAAGTAGCTTCTGATTCAACGAAACAAATAAATAGAAATGATTATGTGGAGACATTAGGTATTTTTGGAAGCAGGCAAGAATAATAGTACAATTGTCCCTCTTTTCTTAGGTTTTATCTCTCTCGTTCATTGCTGAAAGTTTTGCACTTTAATCCGAAATGAGAATTAGAATTACAAAAGTTGCACGCATTCTTCATTACTGTATTTAATATAGTTGATGTTGGAATAACAGGTTTAAATCTAGCTTGAGGCTGAGAGTGATTTTTTTCTTTTGAAGTTTCCCGAAAAGAAGGCCCAGAAACAGCTCTTGCAACTTCCTTACATTCAATTTCATGTTTGATAAAATTCATCAGCTATTTTATATCACTAGGATTTTAGGATCTTTTTTGCGATAAAATTCTTTTACTAAATCCTGAGGTAATTGTTTTAATAAAATTGTTATTAGCAAATTAGAGTAATATCCGGATGCAACTCTCATAGAATTTAAATAATCAAGTGTTCTTGTTTACCGTATCGCAGTATAGTTCATAGAATATTAATTCTATTAAAAATTCATTTATAGAATATTAATTCCATTAAACTAATTAATAACTAAAATTATAAATCTTGTTTGAATTTGTTCTTTTACAAATTCTTTACAAATTCAAACAAGATTTATAATTTTCTTCCGTAAGCGTGAATCCCAAAACAATTTTATAAGCATCTCTCGAAAGAAATGATGTTAGATATATGAGCTTGTCAACATTACTTAATGACTCGTTAGAATCAATTGCACTTCAGAAACTATTAAAGAATTCTTGAAATAAATTAAAATCGCCATTAAAAGTGGGAATACGCAATTTAGGCAGATTAATAGAAGATGATGGATTACATGTATTCGTACTAGAAACGTTAACATTTTGAGAAGATTTAAAATGTTCAGTCTCTTACCTTTTTAATTTTGTTTCGGTTTTGAATTTAGCATTAATTATAGATTCATTATACTCGAGTGTACTTTGAATTTACATTTCGAAATTGTACTATCATAAATTACACGTAATAAAATTTAAAGCGATAACAATTCAAGTGATAAATAACTTATTAAATTACAAAGTTACAATACCTGCAATCCAAGTGTTCGAGAATTATCCTGGAACAACTCGAAAGAAATTATCCTAGGCTCGCGAGATTCGTGGCACCATGAAAAAATAATATTATGTTACACTAAAGAAACAAAGAAAATTCTTGCATGAAGAGCATGTTGTCCAAGATTTTCTAATTTTAACAACACACCTCATATATAAACATATTTTTCTAAATTAGAATTAGGTTTCAATTAATGTACGTTAAAATTTCAAATTTCTTTAATTTATTTGAAGCCCACAATTTTATCATAATGTCAATTCTAGTAATAATGTCTTAACGTATCTGAGTTTTATTCTTAGAATTTTGGTTTATCGGATCATTTTAGTTTACTAAAATTAATATGCCTTGGAACGAATTTCATTACAAACTAATAATTTTTATTAGTTATGATATTCAGAGAATAACGCTTGCAAATTTAGCACTTTAAATAGTATTCATTTTTGATAATATTTAACAGCTGTCACTTTAACACCTAAAACCAATCCTTGTATTCACAGCTAAAGGCTTCTGGAGGGAAAATGCTTCATTTCTATGATGATAAGATATATGTACCGCAAAATATAAATTTTGATATGAATTTCTGTAAGAAAGACAAATGCTATAATATAGGAAAAACTGAAATACGTTTCGAGCTTAATGCTATATTTAAGTAATCTGATAGCTAGTTAAATTGCTGAGTATGAAAAGTGTATTCATTTAATTTTTCATCCCATTACATGCTATGGGAAGAAACACAAACGTACCTGTTTGTTGATTTTCTTCGGATAAATTTAATTTTTCTTCAAATTCTTCCAGATAGTCAGGAAATTCTGAAAATCTTTTCCAGAGGAAAGGAACTTTTCTCCCATAAAAGAATTCTGATCTGTCATTTTTTCCCTCTGCGTTAATTTCCTTAAAACTAAAGATGCTCAAACAAATCATTGTGAAAACAACTGAAGACATAACTGCTTCATAAACTCTTAAATTCTCACTCTAAACGTTAATGGAATGTTTTCAACTTTTTCAGACGGAAATGTTCGTGTAATGCCTTTTATTCTTCATTAAATTCACTCAATACTTTGCACTTAAGATAACTTCGGCATAATGTTCTTTTTCCTTGTTAAAGATAATCAATACATTACACTCAAGATAACATTTGAGTGTTTTATTAAAACTTTAATCTTTTTTTTTATCAGAGACTTAAGCAGTTTCTCTAGATCTCGTTTGGCTTAAGTAATGGCTCGTGTGAATAATTTCACACAAGCTGCGCATTTTCGTTTTTAGATCATCACATTTAAAATGCAAATTTAATTTTCTTTGGAACCTTTCTTTTGTTGAAAAGAAAGTTATTCAAAACATATTGACAAATTTTCATTGCAAAAATGTCGCAATAAATATGCAGATGTCATAAAAGTATCCGATTACGTTCGACACCCAAATTTTGGAAAATAATACAAATAAATCTATTATTACTTTTATTTAGCATAATACTATTTAAAATGACAGAAACAGGTGATAAATATGTTTAAAAAGTATAATTTTGAGTTTTCGTTCTTAAATTTTGCGTTAAAGATATATTAAATTTATTGATTACTACACGTGTTCCCAGAAAATTATTTATCAATATTTTAATTTAATTTTCGTCCCTTATATTTATTAAGGTATAAAGAATTAAACTGAATAAAATTCAAGTAAAATGTCTATTAAATATACCTCTTTGAATATATGCATTAGCTATTTTTCGAGAAATTTCTCTCTTTTCATTTACAAAATTATCTGAAAAAATTTAGATATGTACACAAATCTACACTTTAAGTCCACTTAATTTCCAATACTCCATAAAATATTTGTGGAAAGTTACATAAAATTACTCAAGTAATATTTTAAATTAAAGGTTTTTTTGTAAAAGGAAAGTTGAAAAAAAATCAAGTTTTCCACAATATAGGTTTACTGTAATGCAAACACAAACAGAAGGAAAAGGAAATTTGGTAAACGTAAACGTCACCAAAAGTATTAAATTGAAAAATTCACGTTTTAAACTTATTTAGAATAATCTGTATATTTATTTGTTCGTCGCTGCCTCATGTTGAATCCGCGATCACTAAAATAGATAATATCATCATTCTAATTTTGTGGACTTTGAGTAGAACATAGAAACTAGCAATAGGTTAGCGGAGATAGGAACAATCTTTACAAATGCCCTTACTGCTCAATCGTTAAATATCCTTCAATTTCTTGATCTGTTGAGTTTTCTCATAAACTTTCAACTGATTTTAAAAATCACTTATTCCATCTGTTGCTGACTATGCTAGATTTTATGTTCTCCCCGAAGTCCACAAAACTGGAATTCCTTTTCGGCCTATAGTTTCCAACTTAAAAACGACATCGTATCCTTTGGTCCAATATTCAGCCCATCGTGGTATCTAATCGCTGGGACTGAGGTCTTGGTTGACCAGTGTAGCGGTGTTCCTTCTTTGCAGGTGGAGATCTTTTTGAAGCTGTCGATCCTGGTGATGTGGGCACCGGGACCTCAGTTGTAGTGTTATACCATCTCCACGGTGGCATTTTGCTTCGTGCCTAATATTGGAGGACTGAGTTGGCTAGTACCAGCCGCGTAGTGTCATTAAGTTGACGAGGCGCATATAAAGTTTAGTAAGTTAGTTAGTTAGTTGGTCCAATATTTAGTTCCCAGATTTTCTTCTTTACCTTCTAAGAATATTCCTATTGTAAAAATTTCTTTTGACGATAAACTTAAAATACAGTTCATTATGGCTTTCTTTATGTTAAATCAATGTTTAGTATAAGGTTCTGCTCTCAAAGATTGTTCCTCCGAAACTTTCGCTTGACTAATGAACTCAATTATTTGAGATCACTTGCCATTCACCAAGGATTTTCTTCCGTAGTTATTCATTTAAAGACTTAAAAAAATTTCAGCTGTCCTTGAGCCTGAGCCTTGAGTAGCATACAGGTGACAGTTCCGCCCGAAATTTTGAAGGAGAGCAACCTCGGGTGAGATTCGTGCGTTACATTCTAAACAGAAATAATAGAATATTTTATTAAAAGATACGAGTATTACATTTTTGTAGCTATCAACATTTTTCGTAATGTGTTTGCTTTCAAAATTGTTCATTGAGAACTGTTTGACTAAAGACAGAATGGTGCAAAAGAAAAATACATATTAAAAATGTGAAATAAAATTGAGTCAAAAATCAGAAACAAATATTTACCTTATTATCTCCCACTTTCTGCATGCCTTCGTGGCATACCGAAACTGTGTGTGTTGTTATGGGGTGTAACAGTTAACACAATCGGCGCGTATTCGAGAGGTCCAATTTCGAGTCCCTGCGAGGGCATCGCTCATTTGTCTCTAGTCCTGCTTCAAAAATACTTAATGTCCAGGTTCGAGTCCCGGCGAGGGCATTGCTCATTTGTCTCTAGTCGTGCTTCAAAAATACTTAATGTCTTTACGACCGAACTAAAAGGTGGTGAATGAAGATTCTGCACCACCAGGATATGGAGACTGGATCCCTTAATTCTCATTCGTCTTTTAAAATGGGGAGTATATAAGGTATTTTCTCCCTCCTTCCTGCATGCCTTCGTGGTGTAACGGTTAGCACACTCGGCGCGTATTCGAGAGGTCCAGATTTCATGTCCTGGCTAGAACACTGCTCCTTTTTCATGTCTCTTGCTATAAATAGCCTGATGTCTCTACAACCTGATGTTAAAATACTGAGGCAGCCGTTGTAAATAACCTTAATACCGATGTTAAATAAGTAACATTCAAAATAATTAAATGACTTTTACTGTGTAGGAAGCGTTATAATTACACAGACCCCCATTCCGCGTGTTACATTCCAAATAAACCCCACGCGTTTTCATTCCCACATTCACACCTCAGTTTTCATTCCCACGCGGAATGACTCAAAAACACAAGGACTCAAGGCTCAGGCTCAAGGACAGCTGAAATTTGTTGAACTCTTTAAATCAATGGTTGTGGAAGAAAAATCCTTGATGAATGGCAAGTGATCTCAAATAATCGAGTTCATTAGTCAAGCGAAAGTTTCGGAGGAATAGTCTTTGAGAGCGGAACCTTACTAAATATTGATTTAACATAAAGAAAACGATAATAAAATGTATTTTACGTTTATCGTCAAAAACATTTTTTTTACAGTAGGAATATTGTTAGAAAGTAAAGAATCATTCTATCTTTAGTCAAACAGTTCTCAATGAACAATATTGCAAGTAAACACATTACGAAAATTGTTGATAACTACAAATTCAAGCTTTAATATTCCAAGCAGAAATATTAGAAAACATATGAGTATTACTTTTTTTTGTAGTAATCAATATATTTTGCAGTATGCTTATTCGCAAAGCTGTTCATTGAGCACCGTATTTGACTAAAGATAAAATGACGCAAAGGAAAAAACACATAAAAAATGCAAAATAGAAAAAAGTGTGCCAAAAATCAGATAACTGTTAAATATTTACTTCATGTTAACAGATGGAGGCATTCGTGGTAAATAGCCTTAATATCGATTTGAACTAAGATAATTGCATGGCTTTTGCTGTGTAGTAAGCGTTGGAATCACACAGACCCTCATGCCGCGTCATACAATACAAGCAGAAATATGAACATTAAATTCTTTTTACGTATGTGTAAACATGCATACTTAAACTTGAAATTCAGTTCATACATGAAGTTTCCATACTATAATTTTAAAGAATTAAATCTGTACTCAATAATGCTCGTAATTTAAATAAAAAAATCAAACTGTTGTCTGTATAGCTACTATTCCATTACATTGTAGGGGTTTATTTCAATTCCCTAGTAGTTATTTTTATTTTTGAACAAGTCTTTCCTTTAACTTCTTCTTTTTCACCTACGACTCTCAAAATGTGTTTTCAGGATCGTGTTTTATGTAAAAGAGGTAGAAACTAGTATTTAAGTCTCGGTCACTTCAGTAGAAGAGCTTAGGAGATCCTAGTAGAGCGGCTTCTGTTTCTGGCCACGTAGTTGCTTTAAATCTAATCTTACGACTTTTCGGTCGCATTGTTACGTGACTCCCAGTATTCGCCGGTGATCTTTAGTAAGGACCAACTTTGTTAGTTATTTCTGTGCATTTTCGGCTGGTTTTTAGTTTATTTAGCAGTAGATTAGTTTCTTTTTTCTCTACTTGAGTTAAAGCTCAAGTGAGGGCTTACTGTAGCCCGAGAAGGGACCATATGTTGACCCATTACAGTTGGAATAAAGGGTAAATTTAACCCTTCTTTGGACTTGTAATTTTAGTATGGAACTCAGCATTTATTCGCTGCACTGTTCTTAAGTATTCTGGCTTTGAAGAACTGCAAAACTAGCCAGAATATTACAACATACTGATATATGTACAGGATTAAATTATACTTTATTGAAGAAACAAGATAAAAACCATAATAACTCTAAAACATTTATTTAATTTGCAAAAATACTGAAGTAGACAAGAATACAAGAATAAGAAAAGTTTGTATGAACAAATGCAAGGAGCTCGGGAAGATTTTATATTAATCTAATTCAAGAAAATATTCCTTAAACAAAAATAAGATAACATTAAATTATAACACAGTCTAATATTCATAACTGTAAAAAACTGCATAATTAAGTTTCTTAGTTGCATACTGAGCGATATTATTTTTAAATTTGAGGACAACCCACTGATCATACTTTTGGAATACAGTTTTAAAATCACACTTTCGGAATACAGTTTTAAAAATTAGAAAGAAATAAAGTGATCTTTGTTCAACTGTGCTTTTATTCATACAAAAATCATTCTCTTTTCAGTTACAAAATGCACTCAAAAAGGTCCGTTACTATGCACCTCTTCTTTTGCAATAGTATATCTTTTCTTCTTTTATCTGATAATTCTGATTTATTTTCCCAGATGATCTGAAGATTTGGAAAAAGACCTGTTTTGGTTTTCTATATCACCCTCAACTATTCCGTCAATTATTTCAGTATATTCACCATCCGAATGCCTTGACCATCGAACGTTGGGAACCAGTTTGCTTTTGTCCAAACTTCTTCTGAGTTTGCTACGCATTGTATCCCGTTGACCGCTTTCTGCACCCATATGACCTGAATTCTGTGCTGCAGTGCCTAGGTTTCGGCCACTGCTGTCACGCCCTCTCTATTGAAACAGAAGTAAATTAAATACATTTAGAATAGTTCAGATTTAAAGCACAAAATCATAGAATTGTTTGCATACGTTTATGCACTATGTATCCATTAAAATGTTTTAAACTAGCTCAAAAAATGTTGTTAATATTAAGCATTATGATTATTCATGCGTTATTTGTAACACATTCCCAAATTCGTTGAATTGAAACAGATTTTAAACCATACTTACAAAGTCCTCCATTGTGTGAACGATTAAGCAAAATATTTAGTATAAATAACTTCGTTGTAGGCAAACATTAAAAAAAATCATTAAAGTCAATTAGATGCTTTTTTAAAGAAATTATTAAAGAATTAGAAGAAAAATACTCTAAATTGTTAAGAATTAGTTAATTTATGTTATTAATTAAAATAATTCTATTAATTATTAATTAGAATTAATTATTAGTTAGAAATACTTATTAATTAGAATTATTTATTAATTAGAATTATTATAAATTATTAAAGTATTTAGAATAATTATTCTTGATTTAGAAGTGAATGAAGCATGCAACTAGCATCTTATTATTAACATCGCAACAATTGTTTCAAAATCCGAATTAATAATTCAGAGAACCAACAAAACATCACTTAGGGCAATTAGGAAATTAAAGTTGTTTTTTTGTTTTTTTAAGAAGAGAGCGAAATAATACAATCTCTCTAAGACAGTTATTTACGTTTCAAGATGTTTTTCGTCTTCCGCAGACTTATCATGTTCACAAGCGTTTTTCATGCATTTTATTGCAGACCTAATAACCTTAAATCAATCCAATTTTTAATTTTAGCTAGCAAATTTAGAACCATAGATATGGGCAAAATTTCTCTTATCAGGTGGTTGTGCTAATGGTGTGACCAGAAAGCGACATTTGGCAATAACTGGCATTTTAGAAACTCCAGGAAAAAGTACTGCAATTTTTATAATGGAATATTCCAAAAACATCCTTACAACTGAAAATAAATAGCATTGATAAGTCTTCATTTCTTCATTGTCAAAAAGAGGTAACGCAGATAATAAATTCGTACTTCGCTCCCCATTTTTTCCAGAAGATACATATGGGAAGTGCTATGCCAGAAACGTGAGTTACAAAAAACGATTGTGCTAAAAGGAGACTTCGGCAAACGATATATCCACTAATAAATAACGGAAATTTGTTCAACACCAAAAAGGGCGAACGGTAAGTGCGGAAAAATGATCTGGAAAGATAAATAGAAGTTCTCTTGAGTAAAACCAAAATGTTGTCTTAGCTATCTATACACTACAGCACCTTCATTGTTATCATGCCGAAGGTGGGAGTACTATTGTGAAGAACTTTAAAAAATGCAGAACAATCTTATGCAGCAATTTTGTTCTCTATTCTTCCTAAAATTGTGCTGAAACTTTAAAATTAATCAATAAAAAGTTTATTAAAGATTATTAGTCTTAATTAAAGAATTTGAGCACTTATATCACATATCAAATAATATTTCAACTGCTTTTAATTCAATCAAGTTGTTTAGCATATACTTCAGTTATATTTTTGTAAAAAAAACGTGTATTCGAGTGAGTATGCGGATACAAGGTGAAAATATATGCAGTGTATGATATTTTTTCAATAAATTTAAAGGTAAAAGTTACTTGGGTAACTTTCACCTTTCTACTCCTCGGCATGGGAGCTTCCGTGTGTTCTCATTAAGTTTATAATACTTTAAGGAAAAATATATTAAAACTGCCAATTTGTATTTCTTGTTTGTCTGATGCCACATTTTATATAGATGTATCTATCTGTACAGCTATTTATAAGAACTAATTCGAAGTAAATAGTAACTAATAAATTCATTAAAATGTGTTTCATTCTTACAAGACGTATTCCTTTTACTATTAGCTAACTGAAACATATTATATTCAAAGATGCAGAGTGACTCATCATCAACATTAACATAATAGAATCAGGTAAAGGATCGGTGATAAACTGTTGCCAATGAGACCCGAGTTGAGATTGAAAGAGAATTCAGTATAACGCTAGTACTCAGCACAGTTTATGGATAAAAGTTTTAGAAGGCTGGACTAATATCCAGGACACCTGAACAAAGGCGTCCTAAAGAAATGATGCAAATGAAGATGATTATTTGCTACTTTCAGCTAAAATGTACCAGAATATTGCTAAAATCTGATAACTATCTTGTGAATTCTCTGATCTTACTTGTGCTTTAATTTCACTTGTTATTTTTTCCCGAAGACTTCATGTAAGAGTAGCTTTAGCTAGAAAACCGGCTGCTTGCGTCCTTTTATTCTACTTCAAAAAGGTATATCTAGGACAGCGCAGAGAATATCAGTTTTTTTTGGAAAAATGTTACATATAATTTGCACGAGTACAACCCAACGGTTATCTTCTTTTTTTCTTTTGGCTTTAAAAAATTAAATAGTAAATTTTAAATTTTAAATTAAAAAGCAGAAAAATTCAAATTTTAAATAAAGTCTGAGGCTGACTGAACGGGTTTTTTAGTTGTAAGGATCTTAAGTTTTACTAACGTTTATTTTATTTTAAATCTTTACTATCACTTCTTATTTTCTACTTCCGGCCAGAATTATAAGCGTGAAGGATTTTTATGCAAAGTTTGTCTGGCGAACGCCAAGTATTTAAGTGTGGCCTTTTTGCCAAGCGAGAGAGAGGAAGCAGTGAGTTCGAAGCAGGCCGCTTACCTTAGAAGTTACGCAGTTGCTACTTTGCCTTCCAGGCCAGAGGTTTTAATCCTCTTGATAAATTAAACGTATTGTAGTGTTCACAGTCTCTGTGCTACATACGCTTCCTGTTATTATAAGGCCAATCTTCCACGTTATTCTAAAGTTAAATTAGAGTTTAGTTTTATTTTTATATCTTTTACGTTAGACCCCGAGTGGAGGGTCATTGTATTCCGAAGTACGGAAGTCATTGTATATAAAGAAAAATAAAGGGTTTTGTATACCCTTCGTCTGTATCCTGTCTACTTACTACAATTAGTGAACATAGCTTTAGTAAGCTCTCTGTTCCTAGTCAGGTCATTTGTATGTTTCCCGAAGAAGGTTAGAAGAAACATTGAACCTGATAGTGGCGCCCAACGAAGAAGAATAACCATGGCCGAGTTTCAAGAAGAACCTGTGCTGCCTGCAGAAACGGCTCAGAATCCAGAAATGCCAGCTGCCGCCCTGGAAGGATTTGGGTTACATCGTCCAGACCATGCGCGCTTCGATGAAAACCAGAAGCAACGTTTAATGGAAACTCACCGGTAACCAGTTTTTTGGAAAAATTGGATGACCACTTCATGCTCTACCCCGTGCACGAGTTTCAAAAAGTTACCTTAGCTACCAGCGCTTTGAGGGGCCAAGCGCTTAACTGGTTCAAATGTATCGGCAGAAGTCTCTTGGGTCAAGCAGGAAGTCCCACCTATACTTACGAAAATTTCAAGACTGCCCTACTAAAAGCCTTCCCTGTTGTAAGGGATCGTGCGAAATTAGAAACAGGAACTTTTCAGTATATATCAACAAAGAATGGAAAACCTCTCGAGCTTTATTTTAAGAAAAATTCACGTTTTCAAGCTCTTGTATGGAAACCGTCCGGATCCTGAAATAATTCAAGTGATTTTGCCGAGGTTACTACCCCAAGTGCAAGACTTTATTGAATTAAGAAATCCGACTACACTGGAAAAGTTATTTGAGCTAGCAATCCAGTTTGAAAGTAGAAGAACGGCGGACGTCGAAAGAAGACGCCAATATCAACAGCGAAACCAATTTGGTACGCCAAGACTACAGCAAACTCAAGCACATGGCTACGGAGAAAAAAAGCGAATCAGTGGGCAAGGAAACCCGAGCATTCAAAAACAGCCGGCGAACGTCGACAGTTCAATAGCAACCCAGGAAAAAAGTCTCAAGGCCAGGGGGAAAAGAAGGAAAGCACGGAAGGAAAGGAAAAATAATTTAAACTAAAACGGATTTCTGCTGACGAGAGGGTGCGGAAATCCGAAGGCCACGAAAACCCCTCTTCCTACAAGTTAAATACAGTAATGGTGAAAAATTTGACTCTTCCGAAGATTGAAGTCTTGGTGAATAATATCCCGGCCACCGCACTCCTGGATACCGGCGCGCAGTGTTCCTGTGTGGCAGAAGTCTTTTTTAGAAAGTATTTTCGCAAATACCGCATATATAATGCGGATAATACGACAGTATTAGCGGCGCAAGGAGAAAATGTAAGTGCGTAGGTAAAGTACCTTTGTATATCCGTATCAAGGACGAACAAGTAAAGGTGATGTTTTTTATAGTAAAGAATTTGCAAGCACATTTAATCTTAGGAATAGACTTTCTTTCAGACGCACAAGCTACACTGGATTTTAATGAAGCGTCCCTTAAGCTGACAATGAAACCAGTGCGTGTAGAAAAGAAAAGGTTGAACCGCCAAGGTTAAATCTTGACCACCTGCCTAATGACGAGCAAGATAGAATCCGACAAGTGGTAAGTGAATTTGCTTCGTTATTTAGTGATATTCCAGGATTTACTCAGGTTACTAACCATAGTATTGACACCGGAGATGCATTGCCGGTTCGTCAAAAACCATACCGGTATGATAAGAATAAGGAAAAAATTATAGAATGGCATATTACCGATATGCTACGTAAAAAGATCATAACGCCCATCTCAAGTAGTTATGCTAGTCCCGGTGGTTTTATGTAAGAAAAATAATGATTATCCTTTGGAGCATCCAAAAAGGTGGAGATTCGCTATTGATTACCGTAAATTAAATTCCATAACGAAATATCCGGTATATCCGTTACCGATCATAGAAGAAATTTTAAGGAACATAAAATCAACCAAATTTATGACGACTTTAGACTTAACGACTGGTTATTTTCAAATAGGGGTGAGGCCTGAGGACGTGCCTAAGACTGCTTTTATAACCAAGTCTGGCACTTATGCATTTTTGCGTATGCCGTTTGGCCTTTCAGGCGCCCCAGCAACATTTCAGC